TTTTCATTTTTATAGTCATCACCCATCGAGTATGAATTGCAAAGTTGCATTTAATACCGGTATTTCATTGCCAGAGCAGTTCCATTGTCCTTTATGTCTATTTTTGGTTTTGGTCCTCGAAGCAACGAATATTTATTTTCAGGAAACAAATCTGCAAAAATCACACAGTTTCTGTGCTAACGGCAAAGCGAGTGCGTGGATCAGCATTCTCGGCAGGAGGACGCTCTGCGTGTCCCAGCCTGAGCTCCCTACGTCTGGGGTGGCCAGGAGACCAACTCTGCAGCAGCAGGCCTTGCCCTGGTTGGATTTTACTCAGCGCATTAGTAAAACTCCTTCACTGGCTTAATGAGAAACAAAAGTCATGTGATAAAAGAGTCACCAGCAATAAAACGCTAACTAAATTTACACAGCGGAGGGCTTGAAATTTTCCCTCCATATCAGCAAAACCGAATCCGCAGTGGAAACAGGAATTGCTATAAACGGCCTCAGACCTGAGCACGGGAACCTTTTTATATTCAGGATGTAGGTTGCTCCAGAGACAGCACACACAATCTGGACATTTAAAGTGCTAGAAATGTGTCCAAATCTTTGCTAACTGGGAGCGGTGATGAGAGCTCGGATTTACGGCCGTGCTGCGTGCCAAGCGCTGTAACAGTTTTGAACACGGTGACCAGTTCCACATTATAGGGCCATCATTACTCCCATTTCACTGACGGGAAAACTGAGACTCAAAAAGCCAATGGACTCACCTGAGGTTCCTCAGAAAATCATTGACAACGATGAGATCCAACCTCCAAGCCAAGAGGCTCGGACCCAGGCACTCCCAGTACCTCTAGCAATAAAAATGGGGAGAGAGAAATTACAGAATAATTCTGACACCCAACTGTCAGGAGGAAGGAGAGAGATGGGATGGCCAAGGGTGCCATGTGCAGCCTGAATATAAAGACGCTGTCCAGCAATTCCTTTCTGATTGGCTTGATCATAGTATTTTCTTCTTAATTTCAACTAACATCAAAGGGTTTTGCATTCCTCAGTAGCGAGCTTGGGCTTCTACTAACAGAGGTGCCCTTGTTCAGGATGGAACTGCACAACTCACAGGACATTTTCATGCGACCAGTTACCTAGCCCTATGTGGTTAGGGTTAGGTCAGCCACTGAGGTGATTAGAGAAGAGTTGCCTATAATTCACACAGCAGTTGTCTAGATGGAAGTCGGCACTTCTTATAAATGGACTTAAACACAATCTGAAGTGCACTTGCTAAGCCCTCACCTCACAGGATGGCCCTGGCACTCGGAGAGGGTGGCATCACGAGGTGTGTGACATCCTGGTGGTCTCATTTGTTGGGTGAGACACGCCTGTGTCCAAGCAAGGCAGGAAAGCCATGCCCACACCAACTTTCCTCCCACGCACATAGCTGCTGTGGCCAAGCCATTGACAAAAGCCCCCCAGGGTGTTCCGAGCCAGCCAGAGAGAAATGGGCTCTCACTGGTTCTCTGCTGCCATTTTCACAGCCGCGGGATGGACCTCAGGTGCTGGCGCCTGCCTAGACTCTCCTCTCCGGACACCACTCCCCCAGGGCCGTGATGGCCATGAAGCTCTGTGCCCGGCCCCCTGATGCTGGGTGGGACCCAAGCCAGGACCACCTGAGTGCTCCCTCTGTGGACCTGACACACACGTGGCCGTGCCTTTGAGCTACCGGGGCTCAGGGACCGAGACCCGATGCCAAGGGTCCCCTCCTCCAGGAGTCTGCGGTTTCCTTTGAGCCTGTTGGTCCCCAGCATCCCTGCCCACAATAATCCCTTGCTCTTGTGCTTTAGTGTGACGTGGAGACTTAGTTGGAACTCCTAGTCACACGCAGGTGCCAGAGACCCAGCTCAGACCAGTTTAACCAGAGAGGTCGTCTGTTGGTTCCAGCAACCAGAAAACCTACCCTGTGGGTCTGGCCTCAGCCACACTTGGTGCGGGATCTCGCTGAAACCCTCGGGAATCTGTCCCTCCCCTCTCTCCACCCCTCCACCATGGTGTCTTGATTTTGTTCTCAAGTGACAATGATCCTTGGCCGTACGGGTCGCAGCCCACACAGGCCGGGGGCCCGGCGAAGGGGGCATGACCTTCCCTGCAGCTCTGGGGGTGGCTTGGGCTGGTCCATGCCTATCTCCGGGTCCATTAGCCCAGGGATGGCAGATGCAGAACTCTGAGCTGCCAGACGCAGGGACACGCCGCGCACGAGCCAGGAGGTGGGCCGCAGCAGAGCCACGTGGACCCCACAGAATAGAGCGTGGGCTCCCCCGAGGAAGTGGGACCTGACACATGTACCCTCTCCGGAAAAAAAAAAAAAGGTCACCACAATTACAACTACAGGGCCCCATCTGAGACCAGTTACATGGCATCACCTCCAACGGTAGTGATGCTGAGATGGATCAGTGCTCAGGGAGGACAGAGCTGCCAAGGAGCTCCGCCTCCACAGCCCTCGGGTTCAAAGGTTGCTCTGACATCTCCAATACGTAGCCATAGCTGAGCACCACCAAGCGGGAAAAAAACATGTCATAGATTTTGCTCCCTGAGACCCAGGAAGGTTGTTTTTCCTTCCTCATCACGTTGCTTGGGCCCATTTCATTTTAAGAGAACAAAACCCGGCCTAACCAGGCTATGCCAAGGGGCTGGGGGTGGCAGTGAGGATGCAGGGGTCTGTGGATGACAAAGGCAAGGCTGGGCCGGAGCCTGTCACCCTGTCACTGCCCTGCGTCCGGCCTGTCCAGCTGCCAACCAGTGTCCTCCCCTGCTCAGGACACCAGCCCAGCCTGGGAGGCTCTGCTTGCGCCAGCGTGGGTCGGGGAACCTGCCTGCTGTGGTCAGAGGGGTGGATACTCGGGGTCCAAGCACGGGTCCTAGGCATGGGGGGTTAAAGAGCCACTCGGGGTCACCCCTCACCACCAGCTCGCACCTGCGCACACCCTAAGCCACTCTTCTTCCCGTTGCCACGACGTTTTGCTACGTCCACTCACGACTAGTCACACGCTAGATAACCTTCCCTCTTCTTTTTTTTTTAATACACTCACTTTTTAAACTTCCATGTGGCATTTTCTAGGCAGCAACGGCATCTGTGTGCTTGCAAGCCAGGCGTGCTAGGAATGTTTTTATGACGCACGGCGGCAGGTGCCAGGCTATCTTCGAAGCTGAGGCATAAGGAAACAACAATCCCGACCCTGATTTTGATGCTTCGTTCACCAAGGAGTTTTCTGCATTTTGATTTTTTTAATTATTGCATCAAATTATTAATTTATCTCCACGATGGCAGGGTTTTGTGACATCCCCTCTAATTTTGCACCCAAGGCAAGCGCCTCGCCCGCCCTGCCCCAGCTCCAGCCCTGCGGAATTTTTTAGGTAAAAGTTCAAAACACTCACGCCTGTGTCACCTAAGGTCTCTCCAGTCCTGGCCTTGGAAACGCTCCTGTCACCTGCCTAAAATAGAATCACACCCTTTCACCTCCGCAGATGCAAATCCTCCCTCCTGAGTGAGGAAACCGAGGCCCAGCTGGGGCAGGTGACAGGCCCAAGACCCCGCCGCGTTAGATAGCAAACTCCACGTGGGGGCTGGGTCTGCCAGCCGGTTTCCCTCCGCCGCCCCCCACGCATCAGGGAGGGCAGAGGGAGTGAGGGCTCTGGCCCCGCTTCCCACCGGCTGTGTTTTATTTCTCAGCGCGCCGTCCAGCCCTGGCCCAGAGAATCGAGAATTCCACTGGGAAGGAGCCCGGAACTCTGGAGCCCAGGCCAGCGCCTCGGGGGTGCGAGGCCGGCGGGAGAAGTCCCACAGCGTGCCCCTCCCGCCCCATGCCGGGACCCGCATGTCTGGGCGGTGACATCAGAGTGGAGTGAGCAGAGACCACCCTTGAAAGGAAAAACACAGAACGAATGGGGAGGGGGGGTGTGCAGGGTGAACGATGGCAGTTCCTCTCCCTCGCCTTGGCCAACACGCGACATTGGGGAACAAAAATGATCTCTGGTGACATAAGGGTGCTGCCATTCAAGCTGGTCACTGGGTGCTTGTCCAACGGAGGCTGGCAAAACTCACCATCCCGTGTAAGCCCCACAACCGGCCTCTAAGGAAGGTGACACTTTATTCCTGCTTTACACCAGAGGACACCAAAGCTAAGAGAGGCGCAGTGGCTCCACTAAAGTCTCTCACTCCGTAAAACGTGGGGCTGGATTCAAACCCTGGTCACCCCAATAGCTCCCGAGTAGAGGGACCCCATCCTCAGCCCCCAGGAGACCCCCTGCAATCCACGCCAGAAGTCAAAGGCATGTTCCCCAAGCCCCCGACCCCAAGAGTGGCAACATCCCAAGACCCCTCTGTCCCCCCCATAGACTTCCCTCTGCCCCCACCCCCCATCCCCAGGCTGCAGGACCCTCCCTCTCCCACACTCCCTTCCCGCAGGACAGTAGAAATCCTGGGGTGGCTGGGTCTGTGCCCCACGCTTGCACCCTCCTGCCGGAGAGAAGTTGGCCTTGGATGGGTGAAACCCAAGCTGGCCCTGTCCACCCACGTGTGAGATTCCTGCAGAATTATGTGCATTTTTTGGAGGGGAGAGGGAGGAGGCTGAAACATTTCTGATGAGACTGAACTAGGGCTGCCTGGAGCCATCCCCTGAACTGCATCGGCTCCCCAGACTCTGGATCTCACCACTTATCTGCTAATCGTCAACGAGGAACTCGCATTATGGCTTGGCCGAGAGTCGCGCCACCGCGAGAATGTGCCCGGCGTCGCTTTCCAGAAGTGGGGGGAGAATCGCCTGCCTACCCAGAAGCCCATTTCCTGCTCCGACCAGGTGGAAAATCTGCTAAACTCAAAAGGTCAAACCTAGTTTAATTTTATACCCTTTTGTTAAGAATGTTCCCTTAAAAAAAAAAAAAAAAAACTCATGTTCCTTTCCAACTTTTCAAAAGTTAATTCATGTGGAAGCAAAAAAAAAAAAAAGATTAGGATAAAATTTCAAATATTAAATTCAAATGCAGGATTAATGACTTTTTATTTCTAAGCCCAAGAGGTTGTCTGGAATTTAGGACATTTTTGGAGCGGTCGACACCAGACGTAGCCAGATGCGGTTGTGTTTTGGACCAAGTCAGCACAAATCTAGCACCTTGAAAGGCTATATCCACGTCTGTCTTGACACAGACAGTTTCCCCCTTTCTTGAAACTCTCCGTCCAAAACGAATTCAGAGCCTTCAGCTTAAAGACAAAGACTGAACACTCTTCAAACGTACGTGCGAGTAGCTGACAAGCGTAAGCTTTCCTCAAACACCCCACGACACGCTCCCCTTCCCCTTCCTCTAACACGCACATAAACACCGGCCAGGGGACAGCACTGAAACGGCTAGCGTGAGAGAAGAAATGGTAGGCTCTCGCTGCGTGCGATCACCGTGACGATGAGCCCCAACCCTGCGGCCCCCTGGATTCTGAAAGCTCCCACGGGCAGCCCCTCTCCGGGTGACTTCCAGCCCAGCGTGGCTCGGACCACTTAGGAAACAGTCTGAATAGGAGTCCGGGTGATGAATCTGAGTCCACAGTGAGCCTGCAAAGACAGCATTCCCCGATCTGGTGACATTGGTGCAGACAGGAAGGACATGGCAGAGTGGGAAGGTGCCCGACACCAAGATTCCAGGCCCCGGCTGCGTGAAGAGTGCTCTGTGTGGAACATGATCACCCCTGGAAAGACAAACTCCACAAGCCAGAGTGTAGGGAAAACACTCCATAATCTGAGGTTCAGGCTGCAAACTACGGCCCTGGGGCCAAGTCCGACAAGCCACTTATATTTGTAAATAAAGTTTTATTGGAACCCAGCAGTGTCCATTCATCTGCAGGGTGCCTACAGCAGCAGTCCCACTACAGCTGGTGGGTGTGACAGACCATGTGACCTGCACGGCCTACAGCCAGGTCCTCTATAGATATAACCTTTGTCACTCCTGCTTTGCTCTGAGACCTTAGGCAGGGGTCCTCAAACTTTTTAAACAGGGGGCCAGTTCACTGTCCCTCAGACCGTTGGAGGGCCGGACTATAGTTTAAAAAAAAACTATGAACAAATTCCTATGCACACTGCACATATCTTATTTTGAAGTAAAAAAACAAACAGTTGGCAAAAACATCCGCATGTGGCCCGTGGGCCATAGTTTGAGGACGCCTACTTAGAGAATCACAAATCACATCAACGTCACCTCCCTCCCACCTGGGGAAGACACAACACGCGTGCTGCAGCAGCAGACGTGCTCCCAGCTGCACACCCCGAGGGTTGCAGCAAGACCCAAGGATTTCGTGGAGTCCACACGTGGGTGGCTCAGAGTGGCTGTTTCCGTCGGGGCTTAGAGGGAGCGGCCGTTCCCCACCCCTGGAAGACCCTCAAAGCAGGACTGGCTGTCCTCGTCCCCCCAGACCTCTAGGTGCTCGGAGCTCCTGGTTCAGAATCTCCCCCTGCCCCGCCTTCTCCTCCTCACCGTCTGCTGTGCTGGCTAAAGCGCATCTCTGACTCATCTCGGAGGAGTGGAAAACTGTGTGAGTAACAGGTGTGTATTTTTCAGAACGTGCACTCAGCTGCCCTCAATTCTCCTTCCTGAGAAAATCCCGAGTGGGAAGACTTGGGGACTAACCACATCAACACCCTGCGGGTTCCACTTTCCCAGGAGACTGGGTCACACTGGGCTGGTTTGGGGAACCTGGGCTGGGTCAGTTCTTCCCTCTCCCCGTGGGCTTTGCTGTCTAGGATTGGTTTGAGCCAACATTCAGTTGAGTTTGCCTTCTCTGGCGATCTGCCAGGTCAGCTGTTGGGTTGACAATCTGGGGCAAGTAGAGCAAGAATGAAACCCAGGCTGGGTTCGGAGATGGCAGAGAAGCAGCCGTTCTTCCACACAGAGCAGTGAGGTGCCAGGTGCCAAGACACCTGCCCATCCGAGGCCCTTTCCTGTCCCAGGTGCAGGAGGACGAGCCAGGCCAACCCAGCCCCCGTGGCCGGGCCAGCCATGGTGTGGGCAGCCGGCCCACTGGACTGACGCAATCCCGCTCCCAGGGACCTAAGGGGCCACACAGGCTCTCAGGGATGGGGAGCCATGTTCCCACAGGTGCCACTGCAGCAGGGCCAGTAGCTGGGGTCAGGGGCCATGAGGCTAGGCCAGGCTGAAGCAGGGGAAGCCTGTGGCATGTCCAGGTACCCCCCTGGCCTCAGGGTCACAGGAGCTGGGACTGGCCAGCATGCCTGGAGCCACAGGCCTTCAATCTGTCATGACACCCCAGGAAAAAATACTGCCCAAATACTATTTTTTCATCCCTTTTATTACCCTAACGAGACCTAACCTGGAAGCACCGTTGGCACGGAGCGCTGGGATGCATCCAGCGGGGCTCGGGGCCACACGCTGCCCCTGGCTCCGACAGTTCCCTCGGAGCCCAAGGTCGCCGAGGCCCAGGCCCTGGCCAGGGGGACGACATCCTCCCCAGCAGCTTTGTGGCCTCGCACCGCTCCTATAAAAATCCCCGGAGCAAGGGTGTCCATGGTGTCCCGGCACGTGACGTCACCATGGGGGGCGGGGCTGCCGCTTTGGATCCCAGAACAGGGAAGTCAGCGGTTTCCAGCTGCGAGGGGCGTGGCCCTGGGGCCAGTCCTTGGGCTGACGCAAGGGGAGGCCTCTGAAAGCCGAGCCCCTCCCCACACTGAGCCACTCAAGGCCCAGTCAGTTCCCGCCATTCGAGAACCATGGTGGGGGGCGCTCTCGGGACAGTGGGTCAACACACAAAGGTTCTTGGGAGTGGACAGTCGCCTTTCCGCCATCGATCTCATGGTGCCTGAGGAGTCCTGTCACCTCCGATCTCACCTGGGCCAGGACTTCCACGTGGTGGGACCCCACCCACCAGGCCCCTCGGAGATTCTCCCCCACACACAGGGCCGGCCTCGCCGGGGGCCCACCCTCAGGAGGACCCTGCCCTGGGGATAAGGCTCTGCTGTGGCCACGCGGACGCTTCCTGCGTGACTCAGGCTCAGCACCACAGGGATGCTCCACTCCCATCAGTCACCGTGGCCATCCTGCAACAACTCAGCACCGAGCAGCTGGGGGGAGAAGGCAGGTGGGGTCTCACCGTCCTCCTCCTCCTCGGGGACACACGGGCTCGTCACACGCACGTCGCCGCTGCCACGGAGGCTGGGGAAGGGCTCTGCATCCCGAATTGTGACTTGCCCAGTTAGGGAGTCTCTCACCACGGGAGGGAGGCTGGGAACCCGGCGGAGCCCCTCCCCCCCCACTCACCAGCTACCCAGGCTGCCCTTCCCCTTTCTGAACAGAACGGGCTCTCCCGGACCTGCCCCTGCCTGGAGGCCACGCCTCTCCCCTGCCCAGCTGAGCCCCACACGTCCCTCACGCCCTGGCTGGGCTGCCCCGTCTGCATCGGGCTCCGGATTTGCTCTCTTTGCTCTAGTCTCCCCTTTCCTAGCACTTCTCAGCCTCGGGAGGGTCCCTTTGTGCGGTCATGTGACCCCTGGCTGCCCCACCCCAGCAGGTGCTGTACTTCCCAAGGCAGGAGGTCAGCTTGTTTCCCATGAAACGCTAGCGCCTGGTGTAGGCCCAAAACCACTGGCTGAAGGATTGAGTAAATACCTGTGTCTTCCCCAGTCCCCAGGTTCCCTCCTGCAGAGGGACACAACTCGGAGTCCTAAGGAAACAAGGCCATGGCGAGAGCTGACAGTGGAGACTCCGAGAAGTGGCAGCACCATCAGTGGTTTTAGTTTGCTTAATCCTCCCAACGGCCCTTTAATGGGTTTTCTTCTTGTCCCCATTTCACAGAAGCGGCAGTGGACTCTGAGGGCAGAAGTGAGTCAGCAGAGTGGCTGGGACCGAACGTAGCTCTGGAGCCGGCCCCAGGGCTGGGGCCAGGCAGCTCCCTGTCTGCTCTTTCCGGTCGGAGGAAGGGGAGACCTGGGCGCTCTCCCCTCGCCACAGACGAGGCCGGCTGAGGGAGCCGATGGCGGAGAGGCCTGGAGCATCTTCCGGGAGCCCTTCCCAGACAGACCCAACGGTGGCCTGTGAGTAAAGGAGCCGTGTGAACCTGCCCTGGGAAGGGCCACTTTCTGCAGAGGGTCCCCAGGACCCCATGAGACCAGGGTTCCACAATGCCATGCAGCCAGGGGCTCCGGAATGTGGCTTCAGGGCAGGTCCCTTGCAGCGGCTCCTGGAGACCCACAGCTGGGTGACACACAGCCATCCCCTGCTGGGCCACAGGCCGGAACACAGGCAGGCACATGGCCCCGGGGGGCAAGGGTGGAGCAGCTCGCAGATGGGGCATTCAGTCTGGCTGGGCCATGAGGACATCAAGGAAATGCCAAAACATGCCCCAAAGAAAAGTCTACTGGGGTGACACAGCCAACTTCCACATCATTCTTTGTTTTTTCTAAGCCAAAAAACCCACTATGTCTTCATTACAGAAAGGATAGGCGCTCATCACCGGGTTGGGGAGAACACACCGAATGCGACAGACACGAGGGTGATCCACGACCCCCAGCACTCGCAGCCAGGGAGCCCCTCCGTGTGGCCACCACCCCTCACTCTTGACGGGGAGGCCCTGCCGCTGCTATCATGGATTCAGTCCCTCTGGGACTGCCCCTCCGAGGGCCCCATGGCTCACACGGGAACAGAAGGAGCCACGTCTCCATTCCTCTCCCCGGTGGGCGGTGGGGCGGATGGCGGTGGATGCCAGGGACAAATGGTGCCTGTCCCCTCCACTGAGACCTCTCCAGGGAACAGAGCTTCGACAAACCTGTTTTGTCTCCCATTTCCCGCCCCTCCCCCCAGCTTCTTATCACCCAGGGGTAAGTATTAATATGTGAGATGGTCATTTTGTTTTTAGCAAACATTTTCGCAGCTCTCTCCACGTGCTAGGCACCACTCTAAGCACATCACAAATACTAACTTGGTTAATAACTACCTTAAGAGTACTCTTATGATCTTATTTTACAGATGAGGCAATTGAGGCCCAGAGAGGTCAAGCCATGAGCCTGAGGTCACACAGCAAAGGGGTAGCAGCAGCTGAGCTTGAAACCAGGCATTTGGGAACCAGAGCCTGTACTGCTGTCGGGGAAACACAAGCTAACCAAGCATGAGTGTGAGGACTCCATGGGGCAGCCTGGCCCAGGGGAGACAGAGAGATGGGAAGTGCCCCAGGGATGGGAGCCCCTCCTAAGGAGCTGCTTTTTGAAAAAATATTCCAGCAAGAAGAATTGGGTGTAGAGCGGTGGTTAGGAACCTGGCTAGACGCAAGACTTACCTGGTGCCTTGAAAACTGCCCCCTGGCACTGATTCCCCAGGTCTGGGCTGGGGCCCAGGAGTCTGCATTTCTGAGACGCCCCAGGCCCTTCCACTGGGAAGCTGTGTCCATGCACCTGTCTCTGTGACCCTGGGCGCTTAGCTTTGCCCCCAGGCCTCAGTTTCCACACCTGAGAAGTGGGACTACTATTGCTTTGGTGAGTATAAGAAGCCACCAAGTGGCGAGGGCCTGGTGCAACCCGTGAGTGTTGCAAAGCGCACGCTGCTCTCCGCGCACAAGTGAAGGTGGCGCCTTGGTCTGCTCCACTGCCGTCACAAAGCCCCACAGGATGGGTGGCCCGAACGGCAGAACGCATCTCCTGGGTGCTGGGGCTGGGACCCGAGACCAGCCTGTGGGCAGGGCGGTTCCCTCCGAGGCCTCTCTCCTGGGCTTGCAGACAGCCACCTTCTTGCTGTGTCCCCACGTGCTCACCCCTTTGTGTCCTAATGTCCTCTTCTTATGGGGACACCCGTCCGGCTGTGTCAAGGCCCACCCTAATGACCCTGTTTTACCCTAATCACCTCTTCAAAGGCCCCATCTCCAAAGACAGGCGCAGCCTGAGCACGGGGCAGGAGCGTCCACAGCTGGACGTGTGAGGGCAGAGCTCGGCCTGTGACAGTCGGTGGACGCAGACAGCGCCTGTGTGTGGAGGGGCTTCCACGGGGGTGTTGCTGAGAACCCCATTGGAGCCCCCTTTCCCCGAGCAGGGCAAGCGAGGCAGGGCCATGTCAGTGGGTTGGCTTTGACACCCGCGTTGCAGACATCCCTAACCTGGGCTGCCCCTCTGCGCCTACCCGCCCCGCCCCCCCCCGCCCCGCACCCTGTGCCCCTCCCGGCTGCGCGGGGGTTAACCCGAGGGTCTCTGCAACTGGGTGGATTTACTGCCGAGACCTTTATCATCTCACCCTGACGTGGAGGGCTCACATTTCTCACTTAATTACTTGTCCTGCAATCAGAAGAGATAGCCGCACCCTGTGTTGAGTTGGTTGCAGCTGTGAACTGTTTATTTACTTTTCCTCAGCCCGGGAATGGCTATAATTTAAAGGTTCAGATCTCAGCTACCCTGCCTGGTGCAAACCCCGCTTAAACACTTCCATATTGCCCGGGAGGAATGTCGCGGGAAGCCGCCCCCACCGCTCCCTCCCTTCCCAGGGCGGAGAATGCGAGGGCAGGTGTGTTCCCAGTATGGAGGCTGCCCACGCGTGACGGCGAGACCGCCAGCCCGGCGACAGCCAGAGACCAAGGCAGGGAACCTGCAGGCCACACCTGGGGGTGAGGACCATGGGACACCCCCAACTACCCCCCTCCGACAGAAAAGTTGTCCCTTCCACAGCGTAGGCCCGCTCTCACTAATTCCTGCGCCAAATGGTGTAATTACCACTTAAGTTGTCAAATGGCATCCAGATGGTCTTACCTTTCACACCAGCGGTTTAATAAGCTTTTAGGCCTGACCTCTGCAGCGCGTCCTCCACCTGCGCAGCCCCGACTTGCGAAACCCGAGCCCACAATTAGATCTGATAATGAGAGCGGAGAGCGCCCGGCCTTGAACTCTGCAAGCTGCTTCAAGGGGTGCCCAGCAAGTCACCCCACGCCACTGACAAATGGCATGTGTCCCTCCACAAATGGGTCCCCCCCCATGCACAGGCACCCTGGGGGCCCGCCGGGGAGATCACAGGCCCAGAAGCCCTGAGGCCCGAGATCGCCCTGGGGGGCCAGGCCTCGTGCTGGGAGCTTGGGCAGGCTGTAGCTGGAGCCGAATTCCAGCAAACTGGAGGCTCAGACCTGAGAGTGACCCCAAGGGGCAGCCCCCCTGGGAGGAGCCATTTCTAGTGCCGACACCTCCACCAGCACCAACAACAGGTGGGCACCCCCACATGCGGCTCACCCCACTGCCGAAAAGCCGCCTGTGACTGTCTGTCGATTTGTATTTCCTTGAGCCAAAGTTGCTTCTCGGTGAAGCTCTTGCTACGGGGAGCGTGATCTCGCATTGCAGACAACAGCGTCCCAGTGTCTGCTTTGAAAATCAAATTATTCTTTCCCGGGACGGGGCAAAGCCCTCTGATACTTATGGAACTAACACATACCAGGCACCATGTCCAGGGCTTCACGCCTACCGACTTCCTTAATCCTCACAGTAACTTAAGTACTGTTTTTATCCCTCATTTGCAGATTAGAAAACTGTCTCGTAGAGAGGTTAAGTGACTTACCTAAGGTCACACAGCAGGCAAGTGATGGGAATGGCATTTGAAACTAGGTGAGGAATCAGACATCACGATTGTGTACAAACTGTGATCCCTTTGGACAAAAAGATTTAATTAAAAATGGATTGATACACATGCAGGATAATATAATGTTATTATATATACTAAACCAAACTGAAAGGTTTGTGTCAGGGTTTGGAAAATTCCAAATATTTCTAAAAGAGCCCCCCACACGGATGTTCTCAAGCCGACGGAGGTGGGCGGTACAGAGAGAGACGCAGACCTAAAGACATGTCCGCGCTGGGTGACGGCAGCAAGTGACCAAGGAAGGTGCATACTCGAGCTCTCAGCCAGGGAGAGAATTTTCCACGTGCGAGTCTCATCTCTGAACTCTGCCAAGAGGAGAGTCTGGTGAGAGCAAGTCACAGACTCCCCGAGCAGAGGGCCGGCCAGGACTCACCTCCCTCCTCGCATCCGGCTCTGTTAGGGCTGTCTGTACCCCCTCTTCCTGATGCAGCACCCCGGGTTTTATGGTCTCATCCCATGTTGTCACGGAAAACCTGCTCTGAGGATCGTGCGTGGTTCTTTCTTACTAAGGTGCAGATGGCTGACACTCAGGAAGAGGAGAGGCCCATAGTGTCGTTCCTCACAGTCAGCTTGGCTTCTCAAACCCCAAAATAAACATGATGCTCCGATATCAGCATTTTTACTACAATAATGGTGTGGGCAAGGGGAAGCGCTGGCCTTTCAAAACGCATCTGCATCTACCAGGGGACACAGACGTGTGAGGAGATGCCAACAGTCCCCACCTGGGCAGGTGTTGGTCTGTGGTCCTCACTCCTGGGAAGGGCCTACTCTGCCAAAAATTCCTTGGTAGGAAATCTTGACAGGCAAGGCTTTAAATAATGCAAGTGGCTCCTTCCAAGGCTGGTACCATCAGAACATAACCAATATATTTAATCATGATCCGGGGGTCCCTGGTGACAGTTCTAGGACTGCCTGCATTGAGAGCACCAGGAAAAGCCCACCTGGTCTTGGGAACCCCCCACCACCTGCGGATCTCAGTGGTGGGTAGATCCGTCCACGGACCCCTTCCTAAGCCCGGTGGCCACCACAGCCCACACCTCTGTGTCTTGACATCAGCCATTCCCCTTGCTCAGAACGTCTTTGTCCCTTGTCTACCTGGAGGACTCCTGCTCACGACCAAAGATGCCATCACCTCTGTCCCAGCCACGTCCCACTGCCATGTCCGTGGGACTCGACGTCCCCACCCTCTGAGAGCTGGATCTGTCCTCCTCCACCCACGCCTGGGAAGGCACTTGGCCCACAGGGTGGATGCTCAGCACACCCCACCGGATCATTCCTCCCCTTACTTCCTCCTCTCCCTGGCACGTGTGCTCCTTGTGGGCAGGGACTGAGCGTGTCCATTTCTGTGTCCCCGTGCCCGGGCTGGGCAGGTGGCACCTGTGTCAGCATTGCTGAATCACTGCAGCTCCACCTTCTGTACGCCTTGATCCACACACCTCCCTTGGAGCGGGATTCAGCCAGAATCCCAGAAGTACACAGTGTTCCCAATTCAGGGCTCCTGGACACTAGAGGACAGCAAAGAAATTGAGTCTCTTGTATTATTGTCAACATTTCAATGTTTCCAATAGAAATAGTTTTAGTACCTAAAATGAAGCCACAGAGGGTGCTCGAAACATTCAAGCTCTCTAATTTTTTTTTGAGACAGAGTCCTGCTCTGTTGTCCAGGCTGGAATGTGCAGTGGGATCGTCATAGCTCACTGCAGCCTCGAACTCCTGGGCTCAAGCGATACTTGTGCCTCAGCCTCCTGAGTAGCTGGGACTGCAGGCTCTCACCACTGTGCCTGGCTAATTCATGTTGCTCAGGCTGGTCTCGAACTCCTGGTCTCAAGTGATCCCCCTGCCTCCACCTCCCAAAGTGCTGGAATTATAGGTATAAGCCACTGTGCCTGGCCCAAGGTCTCTACTTTTGACTCCAACCCTCAGTTGGTCCATCTGGTTTTTATGATTATCAGAAACTTTGCCAGGAGTATTGTGTCTCTGAATATCATTGTGGACAATAAGAATTCGCCCTTTCCTGAACACCTGATTCAAACACTCTGTGTGCACAGTACTCTGGGATTTCTCCCAATAATCGCACAAGGAAGATAACATCGGAACCTGTCAACAGAAGAGGAGACTGAGGTTCTGAGAGGCTTCAAGAAACAAAGCGACTGAAAGAAGATCATGAAGGTAGAATTCAGCCTGAGTCCAGAGCCGGCCCCGACTGCTAGAACAGTGTTTTCCTCGAACTTAACAGGTCAGAGGAATTACCTGGGGGCCTGGTGTGAATTGTGGGTCATGGACCCCAACCTGGTTAATGAGTCTGACTTTGACACCGGACACCTGAGAATCTGCATTTTCGGACAAACATCACTGGAGGTAAGATTGAGACCCCCCCCACACACACACTCCAGTGTTTCTATCCCCCTGTGGCTTGGTAAGAGCATATTTCAGAAGTTGGTATTGATGGGGTGGGGACAGGTTGGAGTGGGCAGGGCCTGCACAGCACACCCCCCCAGAGCCCCCAAGAGCCACCGTGTCCCCCACGGCCCTGGCTGACTGGGAACCACCCCTGCCTCTGCACAAAGAATGGGAGGAAACAGCAGTTTGCCCTGTGCTGCTTCTCCCTGGCGGCCGGCCGGGCTGGCCCGAGGAGCAGCTGAAAAGGCCAGGGACAGGGGAGAGGGCAGTGGCGGCGCCCGGCTGCGGAGCTGGGGGGCCTGGGAAACAAAACACAGCCCCCCCTCCAGAGCTGGCTGGGGGCAGCGGCTGGAGCAATCGCCCACAGGAATCTGCAAGCTCATCACAGTGCTGGGAAGCCTCGCTGGGGACGCACGCGGCACAGGACGCGTCCTGCTCTGCAGAGATAAGAGAGGACTCCCGGGTTCTCACCACTGAGCACCCCCTGGGAAAAAGCGCTGCTGGCGGCTACTCAGAGGAACGGGACAGAGATGCCCAAAACAAACATGCTGGCAGGGAGGCCCCCCTCGAGTGAGCGGGCAGGGCCTCTAGGCCATCACCCCTCACTCGCTTTGGGACAGGACCTCCTGGGGAAGTGGTCTGGGGTCACATGCTGAGGCTGGACCCCTGGTCACTGAAATTACTCCTCGGACTGACTTTCAACCCTACCAGGTGCTAGCTGTGGGGCCCTGTGCCTCAATTTCCCCACTTGCAAAAGGAAGCTGCAGATGGAAACTCCCTGCCATGTCAACGCCAACATAACATCTACGTCTCCTACCCGACCTGGGTCACCCTTCCCTCATTGACCCCACGCCTGCCCTGGGAAATATTTAGATGTTAAGAAATAAATGTCTTGTCAGAAGGGTTTCTGTAAAAATATTTTTTAAAAGTCTCTTTCCTCATCTGACCCAGGGAGGATCCGGGTGACAACCAGATCTGACCATACCCATTCCTGGGCCCTCTGCTGGTGGCCCACCCATCTGTTCCCTCCCCACTCCTCCTATTGGCAGCATTCTCCTTTCATTTTGCTTGAAAATAAGCCCCTATGAAAAATATGCAATTTCCCAGATGCCTTTGCAGTGCAGAGTGGTCTGGTGACCCAGTCTGGCCCATGAGATGTGCACGCCCAGAGGATAAAAGACCTTGTGTTTCTCCCTTTATCCTTCCTCCTAGGGAGATGTGACATTCATCCAGGTGTGGCATTCACCTTGTCACCCTGAGGGCCCAGGCATGGAGGCCAAAGGGTGACCGACACCACCCATCTGGGGCTCTAAGACAAGTGCATCCCTCCCTCCCAGGCCTCTGACTTGCAGCCGGGAGCATCCCTGCACAGGAACAAGCCAAGGAAGCAAAAGAGGGTACTAGGGCAGTCTCCATGGCAACAACCCCCCCCCCAGCTCCGCCTCCCTCTCCCCATCTGAGATGACTGACGGGGATGCCATCCAGGTAGCACATTTTCTTTCTCATTTGGGACACTGAAAGGGAGCCCACCTCTACATTCTAAGATAAATATTTTATTTCCTGGCCTGTTGGTTTCGTTTTATTAATTATTTTACTTATGCATTTATTTATTTCCCTTTTCGGTAAAACCTGCCTGCATAAAACATGATGTGCAGGCCGCAGAGACTGTGAGCCTTTGCTTCCTGCCTATGTTGCAACTGGTGGAGACGATCTCTTCCAAGAGAGAGGAGCCTCCCAGGCCAGTGGAACCTGCTCGCCTACCCGCCGGGAAGGTCCCCGTGCTCCCCAGCACTCACTGAGCCCCCGCCCTGCACCACACCAGGCTGCCCCTTCTCAGCTGGGACAGCCGCCTGGAGAGCCAACCCTGAAGCCCCTCCTCTATGCACACTCTGCCCCCTAAACTTTCCCCGCACAGGACGGCAGTTGCCGGTGATGTGCCGTCCTCCCTGACGGGCTGCGGAGGGTGACAAATGCCTTTGCCCCTTGTTCACCGCTGCGGCACTCAGTGAGTATTTGCTCCTGATTGAAGGACCAGCTGTTGAACAAACCCATGGAAGCAGAGCTTTCCTAGCAGGCCTGGCTTCTCCGCAGAACGCATGTAGCAAAGCTTTGTTTTGCTCTCACCTTTTTCCTCCTGCCACGTCATGATGCCCTCACATCATGTCTCTGGGGAAATGCGGCCCATGAGTGTTTTGTCACATGGGCCCAGATGACACGTTAGCCCCCACACTCCATGGTCAGAGAGATGGTGCCGGGTCACCCTGGGGTGCAGAGGAGAACACACTCCGGGCCGGAAAACCCGGAAAAGGCCGGAAGGAACAACGAAAAAACCCCAAGAACAACCCTCCCAAAACCAACGCAACCAACGGGGGCCCTGGAAAAAAAAAATTGCCGGCCGGGAAAAGCGCTTCAGGGAGAAGACACGGCACGGCATGTGCAAAGGCAGAGGCCTGGGCCAGCATGGCGTGTCTGTGGAACACCGAGTCGTGGGCGCAGTGGGGACCTCAGGGACACATGTCAGGGAGGGGAGACATGAAGGCAAGCTCGCTCTGGCGATGCAAAAGCTGAGATGCCAACCAGCAAATACCTGCTAGTAGCTGGGGACCCGTGAGACGGAGAGAGGAGCCTGCGGTGGGGGCCGCCCAGCGGCGCTGGCCCTCCGTGGGCTCATGGTGGCCCCACACATGCTGCTGGACACAGCCTGAGCACAGACAGACAGAAGAGGAGCAACATCCCGGCGTCCCCCTCCTCCAGCCGGCCCTCCGGTCTCCCACCAGTGCCGCCCACTGGCCCCCGGCCAGACCCCACCAGAAGCCTCGGGAGCCTGTGGGCAGAGCAGGGCAGGAGAAGGACCAGGAGGGGCCCCAGGACGTCTGGAGCTCACAGAGAAGTGGGCAGCCGCCTCCTCAGAACCCCCCGGGGACACTCTTGGAGAAGACGGAAGTGCACGGTGGCCTCTGTCTCTGGGGTGCCTGAGATTCAGGCCACAGGCACACAAATCTCTGGGATCTTGTTAAAATGCAGCCTCTGACTCAGGAGTTCTGGAAGGGACTGAGACAGCGTTTCCAACAGGCTCCCTGGACGCTGGTCCATGGGGCACACTTCCCCAGGGCCGAGAGTCCCTAGAATGTGAGAGCTGGAAGGAGGCGTGTGCTCCTGGGACAGTCCGAGTGGACATCCGTTTAGCGTTTACCCCAGGCCTGGCTCGCCCTCCTCATGCCCTGTCTTGGAGGGAGGAACTAAAGCCAGCCCTACTCTACAGATGAGGAAACCAACACCCGGCAAGCCCACGACTCTTGCCCGGATCGCCCGGCCGGTCGAGGGGCAGCCCCACTGCCTGCTTCTTTCTGGGCCCAGGGTCCGGCCTGGAGACATCGTAATGCCACAATGCTGCCCTTCACCGAGCACACGCCACGCCACGCCCCTCATCACAAGCTCAAACCTTCACAACCCCAAAAGCAAGATTACTAGCTCTGGTCTATGTAGGAGGAAACCACTGAGGCCTGGAAAATTTAAGGAATTTACCAGTCACCAGTAAATGAAGGGGGCAGAGCCCTCCCTGAACCCAAATCTGCCCTCCCCTGAAACCTTCCTCCTGACGTCACACCCCACCATCTCCCAAATTCAACACTCACGTATTCACTCAACACGTACTTATTTAGCAAAGCACCATGAGGCCTGGTGAGGACTGTGGGGTCCCTGATACAACAGCCTGGATTTGATGCCCGGTCCTCCCCTGCCCTCCACACAGGCCGTGCGACTTTGGGGACTTCACTCAGCCTCCCGGGGACTCAGTTTCCTCGATTGTCAAATGGAGATAATGACATTTCCTGCCTCACCGACTTGTTGGGAGATGCCACCGTGCTGCCCCATGCAACACCCGACACACTTAGAGCTCTGGATTAACAGCTGTCAGCGTCTCTCATGTGCCACTCGAGGCCTTGGGCATACGACCATCCTGACACCCAGATTCTCGGCAGGGGACGTGGTCGGGGAACACACTAGAAACAAAGGCATTTGTGAAAATGGCTGAGCGCTGCATGAGAACAGCAGAGCAGCACTGTCCAAGCCCCTTGGCTTGGCCAGGCCTCCCGCCCACGTCATGCCCAGGTCTGCAGGGCACACGCATGGCACTGGTAGTCACGAGAGCCTTTGCTGCCCTGGGTGGGCACGTACCCTGTCTCCACCACACAAGCCTGGAGAGAGACCTGTGTCCCCAGCACCCTCTCCTGGAGGAGGTTCAGCCTGGGGTGTTGGGGACGCCTCCCCTCTAAATGCTCCATTCTCCAAACCGCCCGGGAGACGTTGCCCAAAAACATTTCTGAGAGACAGGAGGGGATTTGAATTTCTGGTGCTTGTTTGCACAAAGGATCTCAGCCTTCTTCCTCCTGACGTGCCGCTTAAACATGTGAGCTGACCCTGAAACGAAAGCCCCGCAATTTCCCCTCTTCTTCCAGGAGAATTTCCCGGGGAGGGGTCCGGGGAGGAGGTCTTGCAGGAGCCGTCCCCCACGGCGGGACTGAAGGTTGGGGGCTGAAGGCTGGATGCTAGATGTGTCTTACAGTTTGTTTGGGTGTGTTTTTCTCTTTTCTTCTACATTTTAACTAAAACACAACACCAAAGAAGTGCCCTGATTGCATTCAGCTGTTAAGAAGGAAATAAATACACCTCCCCACCTTCGTTGGCAGAGATCAAACGTGCCTTTCTCAAAAAACAGAAAGTGGAAAGTTTACAAATACAGGACCCAGGATCTGAATCAGTGGTAGACACAGACGGACAGGCCTCCGAGCCATTCCTGTGACCCACGTGCAAAAACGGCACCGACCCACGTCCTACCCTTCCACAAAAAAAAAAAAAAAAAAAAAAAAAAAAATTCCAGAAGAGGCAGCAATCTCTGCATCTGCTCAAACCTTGTCTGCTGGGTTGGCAAATAGAAACATAAAAATATTTTAGGCTGAAATTTGTCAAACAGGATGGTTGAGTTCGTTTGTCAAAAAATCTTGCCCCAAACCAGTTAACTCAGATGCATGAAGTCTGAGAGTGCTTTGCCTTTCCGAGTTTCTGAAACCTGAAATATTTTCAGCTAAATGAGAAAATGTTTGCTGTTGAATGGCCTATTAGAGCTGTCACAAATGTGATTTCTGGAAATAAACAAGATTGTAAGGTTGGCTGAAGCAGAAACATAAGTCACCACTAATAGGTGGTGTAATTAAATTATCCCTTAAGCTAAGGTGCCAAATGACACAAATTTTTTGTGTGTGTGCTAATTCTAGTACAATCACCTTCATGCAACTACAAAAATCTGAACGGCTCTCTCACTAGAGTCGCTAATTTTATTTTCTTTAGTTTCTACGTATCGAATGGCTCCCTCTGTTCTGCCAGGGAGCCGAAGTACTTGGGACATAAATGTTCATATTTTCTCCGTATCATTTTACAAAGGTTCACTTGATACAAACATGGTTCAATAAACAATGTTTATTTTTTATGGGTTAGTATCTTGCTCAAGAAAATTAGAACTAAGTTTCAGGAGGATTTATTTACATTTTAACCATTGTTCGCCGGTCACTGCCACTCAATACTTAAATGACTTTCTCCCTAAAGGGCAAAATCTTTAAAGCAGAACAGAATTTATTTAAACAGCTGGATTTTTGCACAATCATTTTATTAATACATACACTTGAGTTATGTATAGTGGGTGACTTGCACAACTTGTAAATACACACAAGTGTTAAAGCTAGCATGTCATTCAATTAAATTTTTACAGAAGGATACAAGATTAATTACTACCAGACTTGATGAAGTCATTGTACTAGGCTACATTTACATATTTCTAAGTCTTTAAGTATTTCAAATTTGGAGTCAAGTGGGAAAAAAAAGTCATCCTTTTTTTCCCCCAAGAAT